AATCCTGAATCCCGAATCGCCGATCCCAAATCCCAAATCCTGAAACCCAAATTCCAAACCCCAAATCCCAAATCCTAGACCCCAAAACCCAGATCCTGAATCCTGAATCCCGAATCGCCGATCCCAAATCCCGAACCCCGAGCCCCAAACCCTAAATCCCCGATCCTGAATCCCAAACTCCAAATCCCAAATCCCAGATCCCAGATCCCAGATCCCGAATCCTGAATCCCCGAATCCCCAAATCCCGAACCCCAAACCCTGAATCCCCGATCCCGAATCCCAAATCCTGAATCCTGAATCCCAAATCCCAGATTCCAAACCTCAAACCCCAAATCCTGAATCCTGAATCCCAAATCCCGAATCCTGGATCCTGAATCCCAAATCCCGAACCCCAAACCCTGAATCCCAAATCCCAGATCCCAAATCTCAAACCCTGAATCCCAAACCCCAAATCCCAAATCTCGGATCCTGAATCCCATCCCAATCCCAGATCCCAAACCCCAAATTCCAACTCCTGAATCCCAAATCCCCGAACCCCAAACCCTGAATCCCCGATCCCGAATCCCAGATCCTGAATCCTGAATCCCAAATCCCAGATCCCAAACCCCAAATCCCAAATCCCCAAATCCCGAACCCTGAATCCCAAATCTCAGATCCCAAATCCCAAACTCCAAACCCCAAATCCCAGATCCCAATTCCCAAACCCAAGATCCTCATCCCAAACCCCAATCCCAAATTCCCAGTCCCAGAATCCAAATCCCAAACCCCAAATCCCGATCCCAAATTCCAGATCCCAAATTCCCAATCCCAAATCCCAAAATCCCAAATCCCAAAATCCCCAAAATTCCCAAATCCCAAATCCCCAAAATTCCCAAATCCCCAATCCCCAAACCCCAAATCCCCAAAATCCCAAATTCCCAAAATCCCAAATCCCAAATCCCAAATCCCAAATCCCAAATCCCAAACCCCAAATCCCAAATCCCAAAATCCCCAAATCCCAAATTCCCAAATCCTGGGGCGGTTCCCGGCTCATCCCGGGCTGAATTCCCGAAATCTGGGTGAGTTTTTTCCTGATGGAATTTGGGCCTGGAGAAAATGCCGGAATTTGGGGGGAATTTGGGGAATTTTTGGGAATTTGGGGGAATTTTGAGGAATTTGGGGGAATTTTTGGGGAATTTTGAGGGAATGTTGAGGAATTTTGGTGAATTTTGGGGAATTTTGAGGAATTTTGGGGAATTTTGAGGGAATTCTGGGGAATTTTGGGGGGAATTTTTGGGAATTTTGAGGAATTTGGGGGAATTTTGGGGAATTTGGGGGAATTTTTTTTGAATTTTGAGGAATTTTGAGGATTTGGGGGAATTTTGGGGAATTTTGAGGAATTTTGGGGGAATTTTGAGGGAATTTTGAGGAATTCTGGGGAATTTTGGGGGGAATTTTGAGGAATTTTGGGGGGAATTTTGAGGAATTTTTGGGGAATTTTGAGGAATTTGGGGGAATTTTGGGGAAAGAGGAGCCGGGGGAGGGATTTTGGGAATGGGATTTTTCCATGGATTTAGGGAGTTGAGGAGGGGGGGACTCGGATCCGGCTTTTCCTGAATTCCCGGAATTCCCGGGATTTTCCCGAACTGAATTCCCGGAATTCCCGGGATTTTCCCGAATTTTTTCTTTTCAGGGAATTTCCCCTCATTTGGGGGAATTTTCATGGAATTTTGGTGGAATTTTCATGGAATTTTTGTGGAATTTTCATGGAATTTTCATGGATTTTTCATGGAATTTTCGTGGAATTTTCATGGAATTTTCGTGGAATTTTCATGGAATTTTCGTGGAATTTTTGTGGCATTTTCACGGAATTTTCATGGAATTTTCGCGGAATTTTCATGGAATTTTCGCGGAATTTTCGTGGAATTTTCGTGGAATTTTCACCCCTAAATCCAAGGAATTCGCAGCATTCGGGATCCCCCCCTTTTTCCCTCCGGAATTCCATGGAAAACATCCCCAAACCCCCGGATCCCAGGGATCCCACCCATCCCGGGTTTCCCCTGGAATTTTGGGATCCACCCCGTGGCAATTCCGCTCCCAAATTCTCGGTTTTTCCAAGGCTTTTCCCAGTTTTTTTCCCAGTTTTTCCAGGTTTTTTCCCAGGTTTTCTTTTCAGTTTTCCCAGTTTTTTCCCCAGGTTTTCCCATTTTTTCCCGGTTTTTCCCCATTTTTTCCTGGTTTTTCCCATTTTTTTGCCATTTTGTCCCAGGTTTTCCCGGTTTTTCCAGGTTTTTTCCCAGTTTTCCCAGATTTTTTCCCGATTTTCTCTGCTTTTCCCCATTTTTATCCCGGTTTTCCCTATTTTTCCCCATTTTCCTTCATTTTTATCCCATTTTTTCCCATTTTTTTCCCAGTTTTCCCAGATTTTTTCCCAATTTTCTCTGGTTTTCCCCATTTTTATCCCAGTTTCCCCCATTTTTTCCCATTTCCCCTCGTTTTTATCCCAGTTTTTTACCGGTTTTCCTCGGTTTTTTTCCCAATTTTCCCTCTTTTTTTCCCCAGGTTTTTCCCTGTTTTTCCCATTTTCCCCCATTTTTTCCCTGTTTTTCGCAGAATTTTTTCTGATTTTCCCCATTTTTCCCCATTTTCCTTCATTTTTATCCCAGTTTTCCCAGATTTTTTCCCAATTTTCCTCCATTTTTCCCCATTTTTTCCCATTTTCCCTGTTTTTATCCCAGTTTTTCCCAATTTTTTCCTGCTTTTTTTCCGATTTTCTCTGTTTTTCCCCATTTCTCCCCATTTCTCCCCATTTTTCCCCATTTCTCCCCATTTCCCCCCATTTTCCCCCATTTTTCCCGGTTTTTCCCGGTATTCCCAGATTTTTTTCCCATTTTCCCCATTTTTCCCCATTTCCTCTCGTTTCTATCCCAGTTTTTCCCCTTTTTTTCCGATTTTCCCGGTTTTTCCCCATTTCCCCCCATTTTCCTTCATTTTTCCCAGTTTTTCCCGGGTTTCCCCCTTTTTTTTTCCAATTTTCCACATTTTTTCCCTGTTTTTTCCCAGTTTTCCCAGATTTTTTCCCAATTTTCCCCATTTTTCCCCATTTTTATCCCGGTTTTACCCCAGTTTTCCCCCCTTTTTTTTTTTTCCGATTTTCCCTGATTCTTTCCTCTTTTTTCCCTGTTTTTTCCCTGTTTATCCCAATTTTTTCCCACTTTTTTCCCGGTTTTCCCAGATTTTTTTCCGATTTTCCCCATTTTCCCCCATTTTTCCCCATTTTCCTTCATTTTTATCCCAGATTTTCCCAGTTTTTTCCCTGTTTTTTCCCCGGGTTTTTTTTTCCCGATTTTCCCTCTTTTTTCCCCCTTTTTTCCCATTTTTCACAGATTTTTTTCCCAATTTTCCCCATTTTTTCCCATTTCCCCTCGTTTTTATCCCAGCTTTTTTCCCGGTTTTCCCAGATTTTTTTCCCCATTTTTCCCTATTTCCCCCCATTTTTCCCCATTTTCCTTCGTTTTTATCCCAGTTTTTCCCTGTTTTTTCCCCGTTTTTTTTGTCCCGATTTTCCCTCTTTTTTCCCATTTTTTCCCGTTTTTTCCCAGATTTTCCCCCATTTTTCCCCATTTTTATCCCATTTTTTCCCATTTTTCCCCATTTTTATCCCATTTTTCCCCCATTTTTTCCCCACTTTTTCCCCATTTTTTCCCCATTTTTTCCCATTTTTTTCCCATTTTTTCCCCATTTTTTCCCATTTTTATCCCATTTTTTCCCATTTTTATCCCATTTTCCCCCATTTTTCCCCATTTTTATCCCATTTTTCCCCATTTTTATCCCATTTTTTCCCATTTTTTCCCATTTTTCCCCATTTTCCCCCATTCTTAATCCCATTTTTCCCATTTTTCCCCATTTTTCTCCCATTTTCCCCCATTTTTCCCCATTTTTCCCCATTTTTCCCCATTTTATCCCATTTTTCCCCATTTTTCCCCATTTTATCCCATTTTTATCCCATTTTTTCCCATTTTTCCCCATTCTTAATCCCATTTTTTCCCATTTTTCCCCATTTTTATCCCATTTTTCCCCATTTTTCCCCATTTTTATCCCATTTTTTCCCATTTTTATCCCGGTTTTTCCCATTTTTCCCCATTTTTCTCCCATTTTTTCCCATTTTTCCCCATTTCCCCTCGTTTTTCCCGGGAATTCCCGCGGGATTCTGGGAAAACCCTTTGGAATCCTGGGAATTATCCCGACTTTTTTTTAAAAAAAATCCCTCCTTTAACCCCTTCCTGCCCGAGGCGGGAATGGAAATTTTTCCCATGGAAAAACCGGGAATTCCAGCGGAATTCCCGCCCCAAATCCTTGGGAATAGCCCGGGAAAAGCGGATTTTATTCCCGGGTTTTATTCCCTGATTTTTTTTATTCCCTGGGTTTTTTTTATTCCCTATTTTTTATTCCTGGGTTTTTATTCCCGGTTTTTTATGGAATTTTTACAGGAGTTTAATGGGGTTTTTTTATGGGATTTTAATGGGATTTTTATGGAATTTTAAATGGAATTTTAACGGGATTTTAATGGGATTTCAATGGAATTTTAAATGGAATTTTAGCAGAATTTTACCGGGATTCTTATGGAATTTTAATGGGATTTTAACAGGATTTTTATGGAATTTTAACGGGATTTTAATGGGATTTTAATGGGATTTTAATGGAATTAGGATGGGATTTCAATGGGATTTTAATGGAATTAGAATGGGATTTTTATGGAATTTTAAATGGAATTTTAGCAGAATTTTACCGGGATTCTTAAGGAATTTTAATGGGATTTTAATGGGATTTTTATGGGATTTCAATGGGATTTTAATGGATTTTAAATACGATTTTTATGGGATGTAAATGGAATTTTAATGGAATTTTTAATGGGATTTTAATGGAATTGGAATGGGATTTTATGGGATTTTAAATGGGATTTTGAATGGGATTTTTATGGGATTCCTATGAAATTTTAGCAGAATTTTATGGGATTTTTATGGGATGTAAATGGGATTTCAAATGGAATTTTAAATGGGATTTTAAATGGAATTTTTTTGGGATGTAAATGGGATTTTTAATGTAATTTTAAATGGGATTTTAGCAGAATTTTATGGGATTTTTATGGGATTTAAATGGGATTTTTATGGAATTTTAATGGGATTTTAATGGGATTTTTATGGAATTTTAACGGGATTTTAATGGGATATAATGGGATTTTAATGGGATTTTAATGGAATTAGAATGGGATTTTTATGGAATTTTAAATGGAATTTTAGCAGAATTTTACCGGGATTCTTAAGGAATTTTAATGGGATTTTAATGGGATTTCAATGGGATTTTAATGGGATTTTAATGGAATTTTAATGGGATTTTAACAGGATTTTAATGGAATTTAAATACGATTTTTATGGGATGTAAATGGGATTTTAATGGATCTTTAAATGGGATTTCAATGGAATTGGAATGGGATTTTAAT